CAACTGCCTGAAAGGAGGCTGGAGCCGGGGGGGGTCGGTCTCTTCTCCCCAGGAACAAGCGATGGGACGAGAGGGAACGGCCTCAAGCTGCGCCAGGGCAGGTTTGGGTTGGGTATTAGGAAAAACTTCTTCACCGAAAGGGTGGTCAAGCACTGGCCCAGACTGCCCAGGGCAGGGGCTGAGTCCCCATCCCTGGAGGTATTTAAAGGACGGATAGATGTGGTGCTCGAGGACATGGTATAGATGGACTTGGCAGCGCTGGGTTAACGGTTGGACTTGATGATCTTAAGGGTCTTTTCCAACCTTAACGATTCTATGAATGTCACCTCCGGCTCCCATCCTGCTGGAGGGAGGCTGTCCCCAGCATTCGGCAAAGCCGTGGCTGATGAGGAGCTTGGCTCTTCCCTGCAGCCCCTGGGCTTCTCCGTACCCGGCCCAGAACGCTCTTCTCCCTCTTGTGGGTCCCGTCTCGCGTCCTCCAGAGCCCATCCGCTGCTCCTCTCCTGGAGCTGCTTCTGCTCAGTAGCTGCATCCTCAGAAGAGGGAGCTGTGCTCCAGAGCAGTGCCTCGATGGCTGCCTGGAGGCTGGGGAAGTCAGCGGTGAGCTGGGACGGCTCTGTTATTCCCAGTAGCAATCTAATATTTGCTCGATTAGCAGACCGTCCCCAGCTCACCAGTCACCTCCTCACCCTGCGTCCTGGTCTCTGCTTATTCTCCTTGTGCCACCTCAGAGGTGTCAGTGGGGCTTGCTCGGTTTTTGATGGTATTTGCCGTGCTGTGACTAAATCTTAGACGCTTTTTCTCATGCCCCTCCTGTAGCCTCCGCATGTTGTCACCTCTCCGCTGTCTGTCACTGCACAGCACTAGTGAACTGGGGAAGGACACTCTCCAGACAGGAGACCAACCCTTGTTTAGATTCTGCCCTCACACTGCCGACAGCTTTCAAAATGGTCGTGTCTTGGCAGTTTCCATCCTTGACCTTCGGCTGGTTTTCCACCGATGGGTCATATTCGTATCCGGGTCAATTAAAAGTCAGTGTTCAGGTAGGAATGAGAGTCAAGAGAAAGTCTGAGACAGGTTAAGCGTGAATAGCAAACCCCCGGCACCTAGCTCGGAGATGAAAAGCAATGAACCCTCAGAGAAAACTTACTTGGACTGCCTCAGTGAGGGCTACAGAGGAGGCTTCCTCGTTACACACGTATCCTGAGCAGTAGCAGGCATGTCTCGAGTCAAACCAGCCAGTGTTCACGTGTCCCCTTTCAAGAAGGGGGCTACACGTGTGGGTCATCGCGTCCTGGGAGCAGAGGGAGGGTGGATCTTGGGGATGAGCTGGTGCGCTCTGAAGAGTGAGAAACGCCGAGTCACTGGTGTGGGGAGGGAGGCAGGCGTGCTGATGAGGGAGGCAAAGGGCTGCCCCAGGTCCATGAGATCTTAGCGCTTAGGAGAAGGAAGACGGCTGGAGATGATTTTGGAAACTGCTGAACTCTGCTATCTTGGAAGGCAGCGCTTCCCTCTGCCCCCTCCCTCACAGCTGCTCAGCCAGCTGAAAGGGAAGCCCTCCTCTGCTTTGCACTCACATTCTGCCTTTTAGTCTTTCGGCTCACTGTTGGTCTGTGAGCACAGCTGCCTTTCACGCTCGCTGTGGAAGACAGATCTGTTTGATTCACGGGCGGCGGGGGGAAGGAGCGGGGGGGATTCCAGAAGCTCTCGCGTCTCACACCAGTCAATGTCCCCATTGTTGTTCTTGTCAGTTCCAGCAGATGAAGTGATAACATTCAAAATAGAGCAGCTGGACTCGGAGGAGTGCCCCCAAAGCTCAGAGCCCCCCGCGACTTTAACCAGGGAGTCAGAGGAGCTGGTTTTCCAGGGTCCCAGCGAGGCGCTGCCCTTTGATAGTCAGTACAGCTCTCCCGTGCAGCAGGGCAACCAGAGCGTGAGCAGGCTGGTGCCATCCACTCCGGGGGAAGAGGATCTCGGCGAAAGCAACGCTGTCGTGTTCTATGGGCAAAACTGTCCCAAGAAGAAACCTCACTCGTGTGCTGCGTGTGGGAAGGGCTTCTGTCTCAAGAAGATGCTGGTGACTCACCAGGAGAGCCACGGCACACAGCACAGCAGTGAGCACGCTGAAGATGAGGAGGGCTTCCTCCGTCAGCAGCACTGGCAGACCCATGGGGAAGATGGGACCCACAGGGAAGACAGGACCCACGGGGAAGACAGGACCCACGTGGCCACGGAGAGGTTCAAGCAGAACCAGAATGCAAAAGCCCACGCCAGCGTCCCGGCCACGGACAAGGTGTACGGCAATCCCAGGTGCGTGAAAAGCGTCAACACTAATGGCAACTGCAAGCCAAGCCAGAGGAGCCACCCGCGGGGGAGGCCTTACAGGTGCAACAAGTGTCAGGAGTGCTTCTCCCAAAAGAAAACACTCATCATCCACCGGCGTATGCACTCGGGCCGGAGCGGAGGGGTCCTTTGGTGCTCTTACTGTGGGAAGACCTTCAGCCACCCCTCCACTCTGATCCGGCATCAGAGGATCCACACGGGGGAGAGGCCTTACCAATGCAACGAGTGCCCAAAGCGCTTCACCCAGAAGCAGCACCTCCTCCAGCACGAGAAGATCCACCTGCGTGAGAGGAACTGCGTGGTCACGCACAGCGCGAAGAAGGCACCGCTACACAGCTGCTAGGCCGTGCGGGCTCACGCAGCCTGCAGCCCCCGGAGGAGGGAGGAGAGGAGAGGAGAGTCTCTGCTGCTCAGCGTTAAAGGCCCTCTGACAATTTATCCCAAAGATCCAAGGAAAGTAGAATTAGGATCCACCCTGGCACCCTTTTCTTCATGGTGGTGATGGTATGCCGCAGTACCTCATAGTCTGTCCAAAAATCTCTCCAGAATAAAAGTGTTTTGGGGCTCTTCAAGTTCGAGTCAGTTGTTTGAACTGCTTCCAGCGAGGCTGAGTTTGTTGAAGCTCTCCTTCGCCTGGAGTTTCCCTGGCTGCTCTCCTTGACAAAGTTCCGCTGTCCTCAGTTTCACGGGCGAGTTTGAGTTGCACATTCGCAGAAGACTCCTGGCAACTAAACAGGCGCACGGGGCGAGGCCTTGCTGACGGCTCACGCAGGTGCCCCCTTGGCAAGGAGGGGCCGTCAGTCGGTTCCCAGCTCTCTCCGTGCCTCGGCACAGGCCAAGTGATGTTTTCACTGCTGCTTCTGCTTAGGAAGCTAGCTGGAAAAGATAGGTTCCGTTCCTTCTCTAGAGCTTGAAATCAGTTTGCCATAAATGATGATGACAGGGCCACGTTCTGCTTGGGGTTCTTCTGATGTGCGCTGGAACGTGCTCCGCCGGAGACTTGGTTTGCGCTGCAGTAACTGCGGGGAATCTGCTCCGTTGTCGGGCACCTCTGAGCCCACCTGAAGGAGGTGGCATCGCCCAGACCCCTTCTCATGCCTCTGCGAGGCCCCCGGTGGAACTGAATGGGGAAACCACTTGTAAGCCTCTACTCCCAGGCTGACGCGAGTGTTGGGATGACTTTGTGCTGACTGCCCGTACATTAACACTTATTTTCTTTGTATTTTGTTATT